TAGAAACCAGGGGTGTGTTTTTTGCAAAAGCATCTCGTGATAAATTTGTATTTATTGAGTAGTGATCAAAATTTTTGGTAGAACAGTAATTCCTATAGTGATTACAAATCATTTTTTAAATAGTAGAATAGATGAATTAATATGAGGTACAAGAGCCAGGTGACTAAATCATTCCCTGAAGGAAAAATGCTCACCTATGAGAGATATTTTTCCTAAATTGGAATTTGGTAAACACAGTTCTCATACACAAGTGTTTTAATTACTTAAGTCACTGATCAAATAGACACAAGTTTATGAACTCCCTGTGGAGGCGGAATATCTTTGACTTGCCCAGGAAAACAACATCCTCTACCAAAATTCTTCTCAGAGATGCAAAATTGTATCATAGATGCATTTGTTTGCATAGAAAGTTGTAGAAAGAGTTCTAGAAAAATGGAAACAAAAGTTTCTTTCTACTAATCACAGAGATAATTACATGAAAAACCCTTATCAAGGTGTAGAAAACACTTCTTCATGACTCCCCTCACTGATAGACATCTGTGTAGCTTTCATAGACTTGCCCCATAGGTTATAGAGACCCTACTAGAGGCACATTAAGTTTAGGTCCTGTTCAACTCATTTGCAAATAGTAAGTATGAAGCCATAACTCACTTATGAAACATACTACTTGCTAATTTTAAAACAAAAAGGTCTTTTATGTGTTTGTCAGTACTACATTTCAGGAAAATGTGTGCTTGTATATGTGTGTACACACCATAAATACACTTATATGTTATTATGGATGCATGTGTATATGTGTACATATTATATAAGTACATATTATGTATTACAAGTGCATATTAATATTATATATATAAACACTTGTAATATATAATATGTACACATATACACATGCATATATATATATATAAAAATTAGCCCTAGTTTCAAAAAAATTACATGTCTTTTTATTTCATAAGCTCAAACCCATTAGGTTTCACTAAATATTCTTAGGATAAAAGCATAATTCTAATTAAAAAGCATAATTCTCATTACCCCTCTGGTTTCTATTTTACCTAGTATTGATATCTAATTATCCTTTCCTTTATTGGAAGATTTTTGATGCATTTATTATACCTTATATTATTTAGCATTTTAGTTGCTTTTCATAGGAAGTTGGTTAGGAAATCAAGTCTACCATACCACCATATTAATAATTGTGGTCCATCTTTGTTTTTAAATAAAAACATTAAATATGACATCACATAGATGTATAATTAGTTGACTATTTTTGTGCTTATGTGTAAATTTATATAATACACTATTCACTTTGTTGTCACATCTAAAATGAAGATAAATCCTAATGCCTGTTCTATGGGTTTGTAATGCAGTTTAAGGGAATTAATGCACATAAAATAGTATATGTACTGCTTCACATGATATTAAGTGCTAATAAAAAGCTAGCAGCTATGATCTTTATGCCTATTTGCTACTTAGAAAAAAAAAGAAAATTGTGTTTCTAGAATAGCTCTCTATGAATGTCTAGAAAATTCTTAGACAAAGAAATATCATCTCACTAGTTTGAAACTAACAGAAGTCTAGAATTTGAAAGAGATTTTTTTGTTAACCAAATTCCAGAAATTTCCATCAATGGTTTAAGTAAAACATTGACTATATATATATAATGTGCATTCAAAATTAAATAGCAATAGTAATAATAAAGAAAAATCAGAGTATGCTAAGAAATGAAAAGTAGATATACTAATTTTGAATACAGGGTATTTAATGCATTATTCCAGAATAATTGTTGCATGAGCTATGGTCTTGTGTTTTATAGGAGGCTGTACATTTTGCATGAAAGACCTTTAAGCTTAATAAAAGACTCTTAAATATAGAGATCCTTAACATCTATTGCTTCATGTCCTTTCTGGATTTAAACTATTATGAATACTTTCTAATCCGAGACCCTAGGTATTTGAGCCAGGGATTTGTGAAGAATTCTAAACCATGAGATTTATGTCAACAAAGCATGAAGTTATATTTATTGCTGGGTAGAGAACTAATTTTGAGAACAAGTTTATGAAACTCAAGGACAGCGATAAACTGATATTTTGAGGATTGCAAGAAACTTAGTAAAGAGATTGAGTTTCTCTCTCTGAATGCTAATGCCCACTGCCACTTCTTCTCTTGTGAATGTTGACGATAATAATGATGAGGAAAGTTTGTTTCCTTAATAACCTCTATCATCATTAGGAAAAAAAATCAGATCAAGTCAGCGTTTTATTTCCTTTATTTGAAAAAAAACTTTAAGGGATGAAAGATGATTTAGGGTAGGTATCTTTGGAATCAAGGATTGTTTGTTCACAGGTTAGTGACAGGTTTGTGGAGCTTGCATTTGCAGCTTCCCCCAATGTTATGGAAATACAAGTTAGCCTTGGCCTGGAAAAATGGTTCTCTGTCATCCTCTGGATGTGTGCATCTCCAGAGTGCACGCTGCCAAAACAAACAGGCACCATCAGATTCCTTTCCACCTCCCACATAAGAGTGGCCTTATTGAGAATGACCTCTAGGACAGCGAGAAAGGATTCATTCACCCATCACTGTTTTTGCCCTCCCCAAATTCTTACACCCCCTACTTGTACCCTGCAGGGGATGCAGACAATCAGCAAAGGAATGTTTTCACAAACACAGCTTTTCAGACAGTCCTTCACCAGTGAGAAATAAGGACATACTGAGCCTTCCTCTGCCTGTGCTGTTGTGGACTGCTTCAGGATATTTGGGAAGGTTAGCATTTAAAATGCTGCCTTGCTGTTAAGCATGTATTGTAGAGACATGCACATAGATGCAAATATATCGATTCTATTGGAACTCACTGACAGGATGTGAGGTTTGCACTTGCTTTTCAATATGAGAAGGTTTCAGAATGTTGAGACCTGGGTGAGAACTCCCAAGCCTCTCTTCATATAGAACAAGTCTTGCTTGTGGCCCAATGATTCATAACCACTCAACAAAATGCTTAAAATGTGAAATTTCTCTGATATTTTCAAAAATTTGTCTACCGATCTCAAATCCTTCTGAAAACATTTCTTTTAAAGAGCAAGGGACCCAAATAACCTGTTAATAACTACAGTGTAAAATTCATCCTGGTGCATGCCTTCTGTGAGGTGACACTTTGAATTTGGGAGAAGAAAATGCAGTATAAAAAATTGTCATTATGGGTATCATTATCATAATCATCTAATTCTAAGAACATGTTTGGAGGGATGATGTTTTCATACAAATAAAACAAAAATAAATGATTCTCGTGGCCTGATAAGTTCTAAACCCTAAGCTTGGTACCTTAAAGACCATGAAATAAGTGAAAGGCAGTTCTTGCTCAGAGAGCTGGCAGGGGTGAAGGCACTGCAAACCCTTGTAAATCAGAAACAGAGTGACATTTAATAGAGTACTGAATTGCAGAGCACCTATCCACGGGAATCTAAGTAAAAAGGGAAATCAAGGATCATCAGGGAAGACCTTGTCTTTGACTATGATTGCAAAGGAAATGTTTTATCTTTACTTCCTTTGCCATGGCCTACCTTACATACACCTGAACTGGCATTAAAGAGTTCAGGTTCCTGAGCCTGAACTGGCATTAAAGAGCTATCTCTGACCATTTCACTGAATGAAAAAGCCAGCAAAGGAATAATATGGGCTTGACCGGTACACACAAATAATAATTAGATCTTCTTGTCACTAAGTTGTAGTATTTTACTTACCAGTTCTGCTTTTCTAAGTTTCAATGCAGTACCAGGGAGAAAGAAAAGTTGGTGTAGAAACACTGGTGCAACAGTGGGGTAAAAATCATATCACTTCTACACCATGTTCTAGTGATTTAGGCCTCATATCCTGAAGTGTGCTCCTCAGTTTGGTTTTCCCATATATAGTTTATCATCAGTAGTTAGATCATTAAAAAAAAAAAAAAGGTTTGCAACTTATTGATGATGTCACAACAAAAACATTAAAAGCAACTTCACAGACCATAAGGTCTTGACTGAAGTTTGTTTAGCAGCAAAGCAGAGTTACACATGGGAAAGCACTGGCTGCCCCTTTACAGGAAAAAGCATGTATGAAATTACACTGCATGTGGACAAGTCAGCACTCAGCCCAACAAATTTCCAAACATGTTTCAGCTCTATCCTGTTAGTGCTTTAGTCAAAGGCAGATTGGAATCATCACTTTCTCTGAAAAGAAAGATGAATAATTCACTGAAACCAAGGCTAATTTTATATAATACATATGAAATATATGTGTATGTATATATTTATAATACCCATGTATATATACATAAACATAAAACAGCATATAAATCTATTTATAGTATACACACACCATGCACTTTTTCCTGAAATATCAGGATTGACTTAAACACATGAAAGACCTTTTTGTTATAGAATTAGCCTTTGAAGCAAACATGTTTGCATAAGTGAACAAAGGTTCCACGGTTCAGAAGAAGTCTCTAATTTATCTTGCAAATGAGTTGACCAGATCTAAAACTCTACGTGCACCCTCTCAGGATCTATATGACCTAGGGACCAAATCTAAGGGGTTACAGTGAATGGGTGCTTAATTTATCTATTGCTGCATGACAAACTAGCCCAAAACACATGAATTAAAATAATAATCATTTATTATGTCTCACAGCTTCTGTGAGTCATTAGTTTGTACAGGGAAAGCAGGGACAGCTTGTGTTCATTGTACCATGTTAGGAGACTTAGTAGGAAGAGTGAAGGGTATAAGTAGAATTATTTGGAACCCCTTTCACTCACATTTTTGGTATTCACCAGGAACTCAGTGGATATTGTCAACCAAAACATTTACACATGATCTCCCACAGTGGCCTGGCTTTTCATGAATGGAAATAAAGTTTCTAGCAAAGCACCCCAAAAGAAAAAAGCCAAAAAGCCTTCCTTTTTATGACCTAACAATCTCTGTAGTCACATAGCATCAACTCCATATACTACATTGATTGGGGTCTTCACACATCCCTCCACATGTAAGTAACAGCAAACATCAATATGGGCCATAATTACTTCTGGTTCAGGAAGAAAGAACCCTCAGAGGTCTTCTAAGGTAATAAGGAATGTTCTATTTTTGAACTGGGGTGGGTGGGGAGGTGTGGAATCTTGTGAGTGTTCTCCCTTATATCCCTTCTCAAAACCCTAAAATCATATCATATCCAGCCCAAGGAATCACCATTGGTGTAAGTTCAAAGTTTAACCATTATAATATGTCATAACATGCTATCCTCCTGCCCTGATTATCCCAGCAGCTCTAACTTTCACTTTCTATCCTGCACCTGATTTTATTACATAACAAATTTTTAATTTTAGAAAGAAAGTAGGCCCATACCAACTATAAATTAGTGGTTGGTGACTCAAAACCATTCCATTTTGGACTGCTTGACATAAACCCTTCCTTTATTATCTGGCTTTTGTTATTGTTATCATTGGCCTTACTGGCACCTCTTTGTTTAATCCTTGAGAATAAAGCCATGAAAACAACCCCTGAAATGAGGCCGATTCTTCGGTTCTGTCTTGGAAACTTACCAGAAAAAATATGTTTTGCACATTTAAAAAACTAGAAATAGCTTTTCACACTCTAGGTTAGTTCAAACCACTGGCATTGGACATAGAAGATCCCACTAAAACTTCTCTGGATTATGTATGTGTTTTTGACCATTTCCTTGAAGGGCACTTCTAGTTAGCAGTACTTGTACCAGACATCCCCCTAGCTAAAGACATATCCCCAAACTGATTTTTTTTTTTTTTGTCAAAACAAAGTCCTGAGGTTCTATTCTGTCAACAAATATTTATTGTATGACCCTTGCTTGCTGGCCACTGTGCTAGGTCCTTGATATTCTGTGGGAAACAAGATTTCCATTGTTCCTGCCAATATTAAGTCATAGCCTATTGATTATACAGGAAGCCTTGGATTTTTGTATTTAAATCCAAAAAATAAGACTATTTTGGTGTTGTTTTGAAAACTTACAAAAAGATTTATTCCTTGGCAACTTCCTGTTTATACTTCAACTTTCTTTTTTTTTTAAGATTTATTTATTTATATAAGAACTGGGGCACAGGTCAGAGGCGCGGGATGGTGAAAGAATACACCAGAGATAGAGTGGGAAGCAGAATAGGCAGACGGACCGAAGACACTGCTGAGGGGAGCAGTGGGTGAGGCAGGAGAGGTCTGTCACGTCATGTGGGTATCTCTGCAGGCTGGCAGTGGTCAAACCAGCACTGTAGAGGCTATGTGCAGCTTCACAGTGCTGCACTCAACCCACTGTACCACAAGGGAGGCCCTATACTTCGACTTTCTACTTACACTTTCTTAGTGATATTGTTTCATGTTCTGATCTGTTTTACAATGCAGAAATTAGCTCAAAAGAAAGTACAGAGAATAAAGAAAAATAATACTAAGAATGTATTAATAAATCAAGCTAAGTGATTATGGGTAATCTGCTTGGCAGCCATTTCTTCCATTTCAAAAAAATTTCAGTTTGGGAAATTATAGGGGTCCAATGGTAGAGTCACATACATCACATTTTTTGTATGATGTACATATCATACTGTATATTTTGGCTTCTTTCATTTCTGAAAAGCTATTTCTTATTTACATAGAGTAAGTGGAACTTTGATTAAGAATTTTTAATCAATCATAGTTGATTAAATATTGACCCTTTTGATGCCACATGACTGTAGATATTTATAGCCACAAAGATGAAAAAAAATCCATGCTATATAGGATTTTCATATTTGCAAGAGATGCCTAAAGTCTGTGCATCAATTTTTACAAACAAGTTAAATAGTTTATGTTCTTTTCCCAGTCACAAACATTGCCACTTCTTTTCGTGTCAATGCTCTTCCAAACACAGGAGAGAAACAATGATAATAAGACTTAGTAATCCTACAATTATCCACTTTTTATTTCTTTTCTGGAATTACTGCAAAATAAGTGAAATCTATTAAGTTTTGGAAATTTGAATGGTTCACAGAAATATTTCCTCAGGTAAAAACAACAGTAAAAGAGAATGAAAATCTTATAATTCACTAGCTGACAGGTTGTCCTTTCCTTTAAAAACAAAACTCATAGAAAATTGACCTGAATTCAGTATTTCAGTCATTTCTCATATAGAAATAACTTTCCATGTAACCTTGAAGCAATTTGGAAGCTATTTCTCCCTTAATTAATTTTCCTAAGAGTTTTATGGAAATGTTAACCTCTTAAACTGGGGTCCACGCTACAGTTTTTTTTCTAATTATCTATTTATATACAATTGTGCATGTGTTTGCATATCTATATATAGGCATGTGTGTGTATACACACATATAATTTATTTATAAAATAGCAAATTGAAGAAAGGAAAATGGACAGTTTATTTTGCTGTCTACTCCTAAATACTATCAAAACATCCTCCTTTGCAACCTATTCAAACATTGGCAAATTACCTAGCAACAAAAGCATATATTTGGGGGGTATTTTTTTAGTTACCACATCAATGTCAGGGATAAGAAATATTATCAGGTAGGTACCTTCCAAAAATACCACATTATCAAAAAAAATATGTTGCACCAAGTAGGTCAATCATTCATTACAGTCTGGGGTAACAGCAGTCACAGACTAATGTCAAGAGAAAGTAGGTCTGGCACAGCATAGAGAAAAGCGCTTTGTCTGCAGTAGACCAAACACTAAAGGTTGGAATAGGAAGAGGAAATTACTTCCTCTTCAAGGCTTTTTTAAAAAAATTTAAGCATTTATTCATTCAACAAATATTTATTATGTGTCTACTATGTTAAAGACAGCAGGGACAGGGGGTGGGGGAAATAGGAAGTAGTTCAGTAGTTATAAAGTTTCTATTGTGTTAGATGAATAAGTTCTAGAGATGTGCAATATGGCATAGTGCCTGTTATTGACAGTATGGAATTGTGCACTTCAAAATTTATTAAGACAATTGGTCTCATTTTAAGTGTTTGTACTACAAGTGCACACGCGCACACACATGCTCACACATACACATACACATACATGCAAAGGACCACAAGGAACCTTTAGGATGTGGTAGGCATGTGTATCACCTTGATTGTAATGATGGTATCCTGGATATTTGCATAGATTCAAACTTAACAAATTGTATACATTAAATATATGCAGTTATTTCAATATTATTTATACCTCAATAAAGCTGCTAAATAATTTTAAAAAGAAAAAAGACACTGTTCTTTTGGATATAAGAGCATTTGGGATATAAGAGAAACAGAAGCCTCTGTTCACATGAATCTTACTTTCTACCTGGGTAGACAGAAGATAAACATAATGGCATATCAGTTATTTCTATGCTACAATTACACTATTACCTGTATTGCAATTGCCATTTTTTTGATAAGAGAAAAAGGCATATAGAAGCTTATTAATAATAAACCTACCTCCTGTGTACCTGGGAGAGACCCAGCAGAACAGAGTAAGTCACCTAATGGCTTTAGATGCCATCTTAAGTACCTTAGCTAGAACTGGAGATTTAGGGTAAAAAAAGAGAAAACAGAAATGTTAGTTAGGAAAGGAAAGGTACTTCTGTATTCTCCAGGGAAAATACATAAGGGGATTAGGTCTTCCTGAAATAGGCCCTACGGAGAGAAGTTAGATATGAATATTATCAAAAACAACCTATACCCAGCCTTCGGAGCTGAGGCAGTGTCCTTTGGAGTTCATATTGTTGTAGCTAAAAGTTCTGAGTGAGGAAGTTGCTTGGGGTGATGTCATGAGTTGGCAATGAAATTTTAAAAATTGTGAGTCTCCATATTAAATAGAAACATGTCACCTGGAATTGACCACAAAAATAACCCATGAAATTATCAGATGATTTAACTGTCCCACAACACATCACAGGATCAGGGTCTCAAGGTGACAAAAAAGAGAGCAGGTAAAGTTGGATGGATGGAAAATAAAAGAGAGAAGGGGACAATCAAGTTATACAATCCAAAGAGGGTATGTGTGGATGGTATGTGAATGAGTGATCCTTGGGTACTGAAAGATGTCTTCATAAGACTGGGTACCCTTAGGAGGAGGAGACGCTTGCTATATTGGCATCAAAATGGGTGGATTAAAAAAAGGGGTGGGCACATTTACCTCTTTCTTAATGTCATTAGATACCAGACCTCTCTGTGTGACATGAACTTGAAAAATGTCAGTTTTCATCTGCATGCTTAACAACATAGATACAGCCTCGATGCTGCTGAACAAACAAGCAAGGCAAAAGATGAAAGCATAAAATGCAGAAGCCAGCAGAATCCTGAGACAGAAGGAGGAGCAAACAAATATTAAAAGGAATGAGCTGAACCCATCTCCCCAAGCCACATAGTCCTTTCTGGACATACTCAAAGACTCAACTCCTTGTCTTCCACAGGAAGGGGTCATGGCGCCTGCCAGTAAAACTACTTACCATGCCCTCTACGAGACCCCTATTCCATCCCAGAGGGTCCAGTTCTGTGCTCAAAAGCACAAAGAAAAGCAAATGGTTTGGAAAGATAAGTTGTTGATGTCTCTTTTCCCCAAAGGTACTTCAAGCAGTAAATGAACACACAATCTGTGTTTATTTTCTTTTAAATATATTTTTGAAAATATTATGTGATCCAAAATATGTGTTTTCAATTTTGCTTGCCATTCCCTGGCTGTGAGTGATGTATTTTATCCATATTCATAACCACGCACAAACTTTCTATTCATAGCTCACTCTGCTGTATAAATTCTGGTGGCAAAAGGAGGAATTTCCTGGTGTGGCCCACATATGGTGATCCTTTACCAGAAGTCTGGCTCCAGGTCAATGTTTGCATTCCTCTGATGGCTCAGGTTAAATGTAAAGGAATGAGGTATTTGGGTCTTCCTTCAAAAATTTAACCGCATTTACATGCCCAGGGAGGATAGGACAGTGTGTTCATAAGCTCCTGCTAGCTTCAGGAATGTCTAACCTGATTTCCTGTCATAAATATTTCATTTAAAAGAAAGACTTTATAAATATGCCAGTTCAAATTCGGTACAGACTCTTCCAGACCAGCTCGCTGCAGCAGCAGCAAGCC